TCCTCCTCCTCCTCCTCCTCCTCCCTCTCCTCCTCCTCCTCCTCCTCCTCCTCATCCTCATCTCCCTCCGCGCTCCGAACCCCGTGGCTTTCTGTCTCGCTGCCCGCTATGTCCGCCGCTCTGTACCGCTCGAGAGAGCACGAGCCTGGTGGCGGTGACAGCGTTCGAAAAGGCTGCTGCACTGCTGCATCGTCTTCGTCCAACCACTCCGATCCCTGCTCAGCTCCTCTCTCTTCTCCTCTTCCGCTCCACCCCCTACTCCTCAAGGCATTCGCCTCTCCTGCTCTTCCCGCCACTCCTCCCCCTCCTCATCCTCCCCCTCCTCCTCCTCATTCTCCTCCCCCCCTCCGAGGCCCCCCTCCTCCTTCTTATCCTCTTATCCTCCTGCTCCTGACTCCTCCTCCTCCCTCGGCTTCCCCCCTTCCTGCCCAGTCCTTCCATCCCTGGTGTTGCCTGCGGGTCGACGGCGGTCAGCCACTGGATGCATGCGGCTGCGCAGCTGCCGTCGCCGGCGACGACGGCGATCGACGACGGTGACGTGTCAACGGCGGCGGCATCAACGATTGTATTTCGAGATCGCCAGCTTGTCGCCGCCGTTCGGTTGTAGTCATGGCCGCCGCCGCGCGTCGTTATCGTTGCGATCGTGACCGTTGCCGCGGCGACTACCGTTGCCCTCGCCGTCTAGAAAGGGGGGGGAGGAGGAGTATGAGGAGGATGAGGAAGAGGAAATCAGGATGGAGGGAGGAGGAGAGGAGGAAGACTGAGGGGGGAAGACGAGTATGACGAGGAGGAGGAGGAGGAGGCGAATGATCACGAGGAGGCGGAGGAGGGAGGATGCTGATGCGTCCCACGACCACTCCCCCCTTTGTTTAGGTTGTAGTTCCTGTGTAAATTGTGCGAGGCCTCGCGTGAGACGATCTCTGAAATGAAGTGAATCTGTACGGAAACAGTCGAGGTTGGAAGGAGCCTCAGACGAGGGTGGGATGCTCGCAAACTTGCGATTCGTAGCCTCGGAGAACTGCTGGGGACGACTGGGGTCGATTCCGCCCTGAGCGCCCCCAGGAAACCCTGGCCACCCCACCGCGCCCCTAACCACATCCCCACCACAAGCTGAAGAGGGCGGCCAGGAGTTCGTGCGCGGCGGAGGTGATTGCAGTTGGCGACGCAGTCGACGTGGCGCAGGGCATCGGGGACCAAATCGCGGAGATGCTGCATGGGCCAAGGCCCAGAGGAGCTGGCATGAAGATGTCAGGCGGGCAGGTGTCGATGACGGCGGTGACGGACTCCAAGGATGGTCATGACAGGTTTAACTCGGAGGCTGGAGTCAGCAATTCGGCTCAGAAGTCGGTAAACCTGGAGTTGGCGAGCATCAGGGAGATCCTGAACAGGCCGCAGACGATGGTGCGATAGACGGACGGCAGCAATATGCTGAGTGACGTCTTGACAAAGGACGCGCTGGCCGATTTCCTGAAGGAGGCACTTCAGCGTGGAACGCGAAGTATCGAGTTCAGGGAGCAGATGGTGAAGACGTCTCGGCGCGAGGCTCGAGATCGGTGGCAACAGAAGATGAAGGAGCTGTCGCAGAATGGCAAGTTCGTGACTGGAGGTGCTGCGATTGAGAAGAGACTTTGTGATTGAGGACGGGTTGCGTGTTCGAGCCTCCTTTCTCTTCCCCTGTCTCGGCGCCAGGATGCTTTGTCGCCGCAAGGGCGGCCGGTCCTGGGCGGTGCTCGCAGTGCCGTAACCTTCCGGTTTCAGCCGAGTTGCCTACATCCTCTTTCTCGCTCTATTTCGTGACGCCGTTTTAGTCACGTGATGCGTTGCAGATTTTGATTCCAGTCAGTGTTTTTTGTGCGGATTTGTATTTGACTAACCGATTGAGCTCTATACGTATTTTCTCGCGAGTCGCCCCCGCCGATTGCATTATCGGAACTATTTTTCTGGAGAGAAGTCCAGGGACCGGGCTCGGGTCTGCAAAGATTTCGGATCCGTGTTGAAAGAACGCGCAATCTTGTCAGCCCCGAAGCCCCGCTCTCTTATGATGCCTCTCCCTTTCCATATTCTCCCTTCTCTCGCTTCATGAGATTCGTGTTGTACTGATTTTTAAATTTGACTGTGCTATCTGTTTGCTATGTTGTATCGCTCGTCTCGTTACAACCGATCGCTTGCCGCACGTTTTGGTTCGAGCCGGCTTGAAAGATTTGGGCTTTTGGCGCGGGTGCCCCGAAAAGAATGCTGCTGCATCCCTAGGGCTGACGCCCTCGCCGCCATATCCCGCTGCGGAGCCGGAGGGAAGCGGTGCTCCCAATCCTTCGGTTCCGGAGATAAGGGGGTTGGGGCAGGCAGGTTCGAGGCGCTGGATTCGAAAAGCGTTGTTGCCGGTTCTGGCCCTTGGGGGCCGCTTGCGAGCCCCAGGACCACCAAAAACGGAGCCGGGATGACAAATTGCACCAGGTGGCCCCAGGAGAGGTTTGGGGACAGATTTTGAGCGGATTTGCTTTCGTCCCCTCTCTTGGTCGATTTTCTGGTGCCTCATCCAGTTCAGACCCCCTCGGCCGCCTCCAAGGGAGGGTGGTTCTCCTGAGCGATCAGAAGATCTGTGTTGCCGCTTCGTTTTGCCACAAAGCTCCACTCGGCTGGCTGGAGAGGGCAGGGCCAGCGAAGGGAAGCGGAGAAGGGGGGGGGCAGTGCGGAGGCAGCGGGGGGAGGTGGGGAATGTGCCAGGAGAAAAGGGGGATAGTGACCAAGACCTTCTCGCGTTGTGAAAAAGTTACGACGGGAGGTTTGTTCGCTTTCATCGGTCTCCAGCCAGGGGCCCTCGCCAGGCCTCGGGACGGTCAAAAAACGGCTCAGGATGGAAAGCCGGTCCCCGCGAAGGTGTCCAGGCTTCTGAGGGCCACGTCGGGGAAAATCACGACGTCGAGGGGGCTGGGGAGGGAGAGGTGGGGAGTCTGGCGGCGTGCGAGGTGAGAGATGGGAGAGGGAGGTGGCAGAGAGGAGGAGGGAGCAGTTCCGAGGGATATTCGGCGGGATGGTGGATCTGCCAGGTGTTGCGCGCACGCTTCCCAGCGCCTCATCGGGCCTCCTGGGTGTGGTGTGCCCAGCAGCGCGCTCACCACGCCCAGATCCCAGCCCTTCCCCCAAAACCTGCCTGGCTTGCGCCCTCGGGGCCCGAGGTAGATCTCCTCTTCCCACCCCTACTCCGCGCTGCTCCGCTGGAAGGGGAGAGCGGTAAGTCGGGCATGTCCCTCTACAGCAGGATATTCAAGAATAGTAGAAATATTCTGGGGACGAGTTTGAGACAAGTTTTGGACATGTTTGAGCACTGCTTGATCATTTTTTTATGTTCCTTCCCAAATCCGCCTGTAATGGGAGATGCCCGACCAAAGTCAAGCGGCGTATCAGCGGGGGTCTCGCTCCACGGTTGGGGGTGTCTCGGGGCGCCAGGGCCGGGGAGTCGGGATCGAGACAGCTTGGCACGAGCCGGCGGGGACCGTGATCGTTCGGTTATTCACAGTTTTGCCAAACGGCGCGGGCCCTCGCACCCCACCCCCCATCCCCCCCGATGGTGTAGATCTTGGCTCTTCTGGGCGCCTGTCTCAAGCAGGTAGACGGCTCCCCATGGGATTCCCCATGACAGCATTGTTCCAAGCAGTCGCACTGAGTAGAGATCCGGAGCCAGACCCCCCCCCTCTCCTCCCCCACCCCCTTCCACACAGTGTCGAGACGCCGAATAAGAAAACGTTCGCGATCTCGCTCTAGGCGATCGGTGGCGCCGCGGGGACTTGTCAGGAGGGCGGGGTTGGAGGTCGGGATGGCCGTGCGCTTGTGATGACGAGGGGGGCTGGCGGGCGGCGAACGGTCTGCCTATAGGTGTAAGTGCGTGCATCACGGCCGCGCGCTCTGTCTATCAAGCAGTGACGAAGCGTCCCGGCTTGCCTGTAGGCCCACCAGGGAGTGTTCCAAGAACCATTTTTGGCTTGCACGAGATGTTCTCAGACCATTTCTGACTGAGACCATCTTGCTTTTTCACATCGGGCATAAGTTCTAAGAACATAGGTTTTCTTTTGAGAGCATGTTTTGGGTTTTTGGGTTCTAAGGGCATTTCGTGGTAAGCCTATAGGAATGCCCGGACGGTTGGTCCCTGCTCAATGATGTTCTTGCACCCCATTCTTCCATTTCACATCTCGTGTTGTGTCGGACTTCCTGGCGCGGCCGTTTGGACGCTGCGGTAGGGGCTACACCACAGACGCTGGCCCGATACACGTTTTGGTCGCAGAGTCGTATCAGTCGTCCTTTGGTGCTGTTGTTCCTCTCTCCTACCTGTCTTTCTTCTTCGGCCTTCGTCCCTCCCTCCCTCCCCTCTCCGCTGGCAGCAGGGGTTGAACACATCGGGCCCGATTCGTTCGCTTTCATGCCTGCAGCCTGCCTCAAGACCACTCTGAGCCTGGCCCTTGGTATGTGGCGGCGTTCGCGTCTGGACACCTGCCAAGCCATGCTGCGCGCCCCCGCTTTCCCCCCAGCACCAGCAGATGGCTGTCGAGCAGAGGTGAGGAAGGGCCGCCACGACCCGCCGGCGGTGGCCCGGGCCGAACTGGCGGGCGACGCCCATCCCACGAGATTTTGCAATGAGGATTTGCTAGTCTTTTTCTAATCCTCCGCCCCCCGCAGCGCCAAAGGCACTCGGGGGAGGGGAAGGCAGAATTTCAGCAAAGTACCTTTGCCCACGGCCACCAATCAGGAGGAGGAGGAGGAGGAGGAGGAGGTGAAAGCGGGTGAGGAGGAGGAGGAGGAGGAAGAAAAAGAGCAGGAGGAAGAGTTTTTATCATGCTGGTCCTGTGCTGGACAACATGCACTTGAATTGCTCCTCCTTTTTTTTAGCCTTCGTGGCAGAATCTGGCGCGTGGCAGCATTTGCGCGCGGTGCACATGCCGAGTGTGCGCCAGAGGTGCGTTGTTGACCTCGCCGTCGTCTCAGTCGTGCCCTCTCCCCCTATCGAGGCCCTCTGGCCAGGGCTCCACGGTGCTGCAGATTAAGCCGTGCGAGTCCAAGCCGTGCTACTCCGTCCAAGGCAAGGCTCCCTCCGCAAAGCTCGCGAGCACTGCCGGCAAGTGTACCCTCCCGCCCCCCCTGCCGCCTCTCGCCTGTACCTCGCCTCGCCTCGCCTCTCCCTGCCTGCAGCTCGCCCCGCCCCCCCCCCCCCCGCCTCCTCCTCCTCCTCCGCCTCCTCCGCCTCCTCCTCTGCGCTCCCCGCCCCATCACTCTTCCACTCCCACCCCCTCCGTTGCCCTTCTTTCTGTTTCCTCGCTCTTTCCCCCTCGGGGTGTCTGGTTTGCGGCCGCTGCACCTGTACGCGTACCTTGTGCTGGACCAGCTTGTTTTGAGGGGGCCGTGTGCAAAAACCGCGTCCCCGGGGAGAGCCCTTTTTGTACGCGGTTCCCCGCTCCGCGGTCCCGCAGGCGATCGCAAGCATGGATCAAGGGGGCGTGGATTAGCGACGGGTCCCGTTTCCATGGGAAATCGCGGATTTCCGCCGCCGAACGAGGCGGCACCAGCCGCATTTTGGGGAGGGCCTGTCCCGATCCATGGATTTGGCGACCGCGCGCCAAGTCCATGGATCGCGAATCCACGTTTGCGCGCCCCCGAGGCCCTGTGCCGGACCAGCTTGCCCGTGCGTGGTGTGCAGCCAGTTTTGTCCGTGCGTGGTGCGCCAAAGCCGTGTCCTCCGCCACCCCGGCCCGTCTTTCCAAGTTGGCCCTTTTTCGCATGGCCGCGTCCCCGCCGGGAGAGGGTCCCGGTTCAGGGGAGGAGGCACTGCGAGAGCGTGCGCGCACGCACCGGGAACGCTCGGCGGGACGGGGCCCTGGCAGAGGGCGGCGCGGCGACCTGGGGCGAGCCTCCGCCGCGACCACCCCGCGGCCCAGGCAAGAAGGGCGCGCGCGTCGTGCAGCTCCGGCTCGGGTCCGAGGACAGCGACGCGGCGGGGACTGGCACGTTGCAGCTTCGGGGGGCCTCGCCTGTCCCGAAAATTGGTGTCTTCGCTTGTGCCCGACGCGGGCTCGATGCGGACCCGCCGCGGATTTGGCGTGGATTCGACAGGGATTCGACACGCATCCGACGAGGCCGACACGGATTCGATACGGATTCGGGACAGACAAGGTCCCCCGAGGATGCAGCACACGGGCTGGGGGGCGTTCGGGCAGCGACCGTGCCCACCTCCGCCGACCTCCTCTCGTTGCGGAGAAATCTCACGACGGGCGTTTCTGGGCCGTTTTCGGCTTCCGTGTGTGCCATCACGGGGGCCCAGTACTGTTAGTAAACGACGCGGAATGGAGATCCTGTCCCTTGGGTGGGGTCTAGATCTCCAGGGTCCACACTGTGAGAAAAATGCGACGTCGGAGTTCAGGGTCTCCTGACCGCTGCAGGCTGGTTGCCTCCAGGCCAAGAAAACACCCTGCTTGACTCCAGGGTGCCCTGGGTTTCTTGGGTTTTGCTATGGACAGCGTGAAGTTCCCAGACCAAAAATCGATGGACGCCCGGGGTTCTCAGGGTTGGGTTTCTTGTTGAAGGTCTCTTGTGGTCGAGCCCCTACTGTAATCGGGGGCTCTATCGAGGGATGAGGCCTGTGACGACGACGACGACGGCGAAAAGCATGAGCAGGAGGACTAGGAGGAGAAGGAGCAGGAGGATAAGGTATTTGACTGAGGCGCCGCCCAAGGGATGCGGGTGGCCTTTCACAGCCAGCAGCTTCGTGCGGCCCCTGGGGGTGCCGCATCAGTGACGCCTCGCCCTTGCTCGCCTCGCTTGCCAGCTTGGCACCGCCGTGCTCGCCGTAGGCGGGCTCACTATTATGTGCTGTTGACGATCGGCCACGCCTGCCGACTCCTCCTCGCGGCGCCCCTTTCGGTGCGTGTAGCGACCACGCCAGTCTGCAGCCGAATGGGACCCCGGTCGCATGGCAGGGGCTCCTGGACCTGTCTGGACGTGCTACTGTGGTCGAGAGGTTGACGGGCATGGATGACGGCGTTCATCGTGTGGTGGTGCCTTAAAGGACCGTCGTTGGCCCAGCAGGAGTCCTGCCAGGAGTCGTCAGCCCAATGCAGGCCGTGGCCCTCTCGGACCCAGACCCGACCTGGTCTAGATCGCTACCAGCACGACCCTCGGGCAGGGCAAGCCATGGACAGAATGGCCCACAGGATGATCGAGCGGGTGGTTCCCACGCTTCGCCATATTTCCACTCCACACGCATCTTGGTCGGAATGGACCCCGCCAGGAGACCACGAAACCCAGCGCACGTTCAGAGACAAAGTTCGGCTCAGAATGCTCGCGTTGACACGATGGGCGATCCAGGAGCAGCAGGCGAAGACGCCAGACGAGGAGTTGCGAGTATATTTGCAATGCGCAAACTCTCCCATAATCAGATGAAACCTTTGAGCGAGCAAGAGGATAAGCTGGCGAGTCGACCAATACGAGGACTATTGCTTCACCATGTTCATGAATGAGTACGCCGAGAAGCGACTCTCCCCAATCGTGGTCAACTATGTATAGCCGCCGAGCGTGGCTGTTTGACGACCAACACCAGCGAGGTCGATGAGGAAACGCTGGGCTGGGTGCGAGGTGCAGTGGGGAGTGTCAGCTTGTTGCCAGCCACTGCTAGACTGGACCTGTCAGGCGAGTGCGCTGCGAGGAGCACGTTGCCGCTGAGCGTAGAGAAAGGAAGAGGAGCAAGAGGAAGAAGACCTGCAGGCTCACTTCCTTTGCCCTTCCTCGCGCCATTTTGATCCCCCCCGCTCGAGAGCTGGTCTAACTTCCGCGCTCCGAAGGGGAGCAGCGTAGCGATGCGACTCCGATGACCACAACGGCGGCAGCAGGAGGAGCAGGAGAGAGAACGACACCGTGGTGAAAGCAGTGCAGCACCTTTCCGTGGGAGCCTCCTGAGGCCGCTCGGGGCCCTTTTCGGCCGTTCTCGGGGCGGAGGTCTCTGTTCTCTGTTCCTCAGGTCCTTCCATCATTATTGCGAGCTGTCACTTGCAGACTTGGGAGTTTGTCGGGGATGTGGGCCCCCGTTCGGGGGCCTGGTAGGGAGCGTTTTGGTCGCCTGCTGCGAGTGTTTTGATGTCTTCCTGTATGTCTCCGGGCGCCTCACTCTGCCTTTTCGGCCGTGCTCTGGGGAGTCCTTTGGACGCCTCTTGTCCAGAGTGTCCCCGGCAAGGCGAGGAGCTCCCTGCAGCCTCCTGGGCTCGGTTTGGAGATCTCTCGCTGGATTTGCCCGTGGAGGCGAGCAGCGATGACTCGGCCCCCCAGAGATTTGCGAACGCCCCCTTCTCCAGGGAGCCTCCGAGCTAGAAACAGGGGAACGAACACATCAACACAGGAGCTCGGAGGTCCGCGCGGATTTCACGGATCGGCGTTGGACCCCCCTCCCTGGCGCACGGAGCGCGCCAGGGGCGGCGCTGGAGGCGCCGCCAGGGGTCTCCAGCGCCGATCCGAGAAATCCGCGCGGACCTCCGAGTTGTTATGTTTATGTCATTGTTCGTCCACCTAAGAAAGCGGAGATGAGGATGAGGCTCCAGGCCACCAGCTGACCAGAGTGTCGGTGGGATGCCCGCCTTTGGGGTCGGACACGCTATGTCCTGAGCAAGAGCGGCAGAGCAGAGCTGAAACGGTTGTGTGTTGTTGTCTGGAGGTTCAGGTTTTGTTTTGCTCCTGTCCCGTCCCTGGATCTCCCTTCTTGGAGGAGGGTGCGGGAATAGGAAAATGCAGGCGGGTTAGGAAGGCGGCGGAGATTACTGGGGAGCGTAACGACCACATCTCTTCTCTTCCCCGTACGGGAGCAAGCGGCCCAGCCGTAACGATCCCTGGCCAGAGCGGAGCCGAGCGCTCGTGCTGGTGCGCTTCGGTAATGTCGTCTCGCTTCGCGGTCGGTCCTGTCCTGCCCTGCCCTCCCTGGCGGACAGGGCAGGTCTTGGGGCTCGCGGGGGGCGTGACGTGGGGCCCGCCCCGAAGCGGGGGGGCGGCGGAGGTGGCCACGCAGTCGATGTGGTCCGGCAGCGTGCTGTGCGAGGACTCTGCCAACGGCAGGCACTCGCTGAGGGTCGGCCCACGCCCCGCCCGTCCCGAGGTGAGGAGGGGCGCGTGGAAGAGGGAGGAGGGGGGGCACGGGGGGGGGGTCCGAGGAGGAAGAGGCCGGTGCCGCTGCCCGTCTCGCAGCACCACGGCGGGATTCGCCTCAAGAGGCTGGTCAGAAGGCGCCCCAGGAGTGGTCCGTGGACTAGCGGTATGGGGCAGGGGTGTCCAGCTGTTTGCGGCAAGCCCCCCCACCGTGCCGGCCCAGCATTTGGGTGGCGACTGTCCAAGGGGGCAGGCGAGGCCGTCACGTGCAACACATCGTGTTTGGTGATCATGGTGATCGATGGTGATGTTGTTCTCATGATGAGGGGGATGACCATGGTGGTGATGATGACGATGAGGGGGATGACAATGGTGATGAATATTATGAGGATTATGTCGATGATGATATTGATGATGTTGATGCTGCTGCTGATGATGCTGATGATGTTGATGCTGTAGCTGCTGCTGATGCTGATGATGCTGATGGTGGTGGTGGTGCTGCTGCTGATGCACATGATGCTGGTGATGGTGATGTTTACAGGTGTTGGTGGTGAGGATGATGATGCTGATGCTGCTGATGATGCTGATGATGGATAGGATGATGATGCTGCTGATGATGACGATGATGCTGATGATAATGATGATGCGGCTGCTGGTGATGGCGATGCTGTTTATGATGATGATGCTGATGCTGGTTGTGATGATGGTGGTGGTAGTGACGATGATTGTGATGTTGTTGATGATTATGCTGATGCATGTTGATGGTGATGCTGATGCTGCTACTGATAACGATGATGATGATAATGTTGATGACTACGATGCTGTTGATGCTGATGCTGCTGATGATGGTATTGATGATGATGCTGATGGTGATGCTGATGATGTTGATGATGATGATGATGTTGACGATGAGGATGCTGATGATGAGGATGATGATGATGATGATGATGATGCTGCTGCTGATGATGATGATGATGTTGATGATGAAACTCGTTCTGAACGTCTTGGGGCTGTCTTAGCCTCCTGTGAGGCAATCTTGGCGCTCCATTCGGGACAGTTTGGCGTCCTCTTTCGCCGTCTTGGGGCTCTCTTGGGCCGTCTTCGGGCCCTCTTGGCCGTATGGTGGACGTCTGGGTGCCGTCGTGGGGCCGTGTTGGCGCCGTCTTGCGCCCTCCTAAGGCAATATTTGGTCCCACGGGAGGCCCTTTTGGGCCGTTTCGGGCCGTCTTGGATGCCTCTTGGGCCATCCTTGAGTTCTCTTGGGCCGTCTTGTGCAGTCGGCAGCCCAAAAAGGCGAGAACTCGAAAATCATTCGACCACCAGATGGAAATCAGTGACGCTTGCTTCTTCGGGCCCTATTAGAAGTATTATTATGGCCCTTCTGTCCCCTCTTCGAGGCATCTTGGGGGGCCAGATTGAAGCAATAGTCTGCTGCCTTGGGGCCATTTTTGGCTGCCTTCGAGGCATCTTGTGAAATCTTGGTGTCTCGGGTTGTCCGCACGGGCCGTCTTGGAAGCGGGGCGCAGATGTAGTGGAACCGTGGTTAGGGAGGCTCTGGAGCGCTTGGGAGCAGCGCCTGAGAATGCGGGGAGTGCACGATCTTCGAGCGGCTGCGGGTGGGATGAGGGGTCTCGGAGGTAGCAGCCATGCGGGAAGTGCGCAATCCTCGAGTGTGCGCGCGTGGAACGAGTGTTCAGGCGTTCGCTACCGTGCGGGAAATGCACCATCCTCGTGCGGGCATGCGTGCAGGCGTGTAAGGGGGGTTTAGGCATTAGCTGCCATGCTGGAAGTGCACAATCCTCCAGCTGGTACGAGTCAAGTGGCCCATGTGAGTAGGTGGACTAGACAGCCTTTGGCATTCTTCCACGCCTCAACGTGCCAGGGGGCACCGTGACGGATCTTCTTGTTCCCCCGAGGGAGGGAGTGGGCAAGGGGGCAGGGGGGAGGGAGGGAGTGAGGAGGGAGCGAGGAGGGAGCGAGGAAGGAGCGAGGAGGGAGCGAGGGGAGGCAGGGGGAAGGGGGGTGAGGGGAGGAAGGGAGGGGGAGGGGAGGAGGAGGGAGGGGAGGGGAAGGGGGGGGGGAAGGGGATGGGGAGGGAGGATGGAGGGGAGGGAGAGGCGGGGCTGCCAGGAGCTGGTGTCGAGGGCCCGAAAGGGCTTCGCACTCCGGCTGCGAATTCCCCTTCCCCCCCCGGGGACCTTGACGCCAGTCAGCGACAAGGTTGTCCGGAACATCGGCGCTACCCGACTGGAGTGGGCACAAAGATGGCAGGAGTTCGCCCGAGTGCACGCAGAGCTAACGCGCACCAGGACGTACGCACGCCTTACCTCACGTTACTTGATCGTGCAGTATCTTGCCTTACCTTGCCTTACTTCACGAATACGGTACTTTACACTAACTCACGTTTCACGTACCCTATCTCATCATTGCGTCCCCGGACCCTACATTATTTTACACTACCTGATCTTACCTGTATCTGTCCTTACCTTGCCCTTACCTCTGTAGTACCTGACCTCTAGCTCATCTTGCCATAGTGTGTCAGGTCATTCCTTACCTTACCTTGCTGACTTTACCGTTCCTGACCTCAGCTGTGCTGCGCCTATTCATCCTAGCTTACCTTGCCTCAACGTGCCCTACTCAACCTTACCTCATACAGACTTTAATATGCCTTACCTTGTCTTACCTCAAGATACCCCGTGCCTTAACTTGCTTATACTGTACCTGACCTTACCATACCTCACCTCACCTTAACTTGTGTCTACTGTACCTTACAGTGCGCTACTTTACCCCATGCTGACCTTACCTTTCCCTGTCCTCACTTTACCTTTGCATTCGCCTTACCTCACCTCCAGAACAGCTAATCTTCCCAGACCGATGCGGTTCCTTATATCACCAAACATTCCCTTACCAGACCTTTGGCTGACCCTTCCGTGCCTTACCTGTGCCTCGCT